CATTCAACTGTTTTGAAATATTTTAATCCTAAAAATAAACTCTTGTAAACAAGCTAGCCGGGTTTTGATGGCAAGTCGCAAGGGTCTTCATTGCATTCAAAACAATTACTTCGTCTTGAATACGAAAGGCAATAAATGGCTGTTTATGAGTTCACATATGTACAAACCTTTTTGAGTCTCATGTGGTCATGGAGAGACTTTCTTAGTTTTTCTTATCAGTTCGATAATTCCCTTTTTATTAGCTTTTGAAGGTTTTTCTAGTAAATATAATTCGAGCGATTTTCTTTTCACTCTCGAACAATTATATAATATTGTTCGAGAATGTAAGAATACTCCCAGCTTATTAGCCATCTGGAAAACTCGAGATAAGAGTTCCGGAAAAAGCAAACCCGTGATTATCTAAACAAAAACAATTCATAAACACATCCGAGATATGCGATCAAGAGTCTAACGAAACACGTCATAAAACAACGAGAAATTCGACGCGACCATATCATAAAGATCCATAAAGGCAAGTCGTAATACTTCTGGCATAATCAAGTCATAAAAATATAAGCAAAAACCATCTCGTCTGACATCCGAAAAAGGGATATTAAAAGCAACACTGCATGCATACATTGTTGTCAAACCCAGCTCCATGTGGCTCAGATAGTAAAGCGAGAACGTGCCAATGAAGTCCCCCTCATAGTGGGGATGCAATTAAGAAGCGCTCTGATTGGACACGCCCAGAAATAGGCGCTCTGATTGGCGCCAAGAAGGAGGAAATTCGTAAAGACCACGCGTGGCCGAGAATGCTTTTAAGAAAGATGCCGGCAAGGCGCACGAGAGTCTCTTCTCGCAAGAGAAGCCGGCAAGGCTTCTTATCCAAAGGAACGCCTAATAACAAGGATGTCGACATACACAATAAAGGCGAATTATGAGGCAAAGCCTAGTCATATCCAACTCAAAACAAGTGTAAGATAACTGCAAATCAAATCATACACTTGCAGCAAAGCAAGGCAAGGAAAAGGGAACAATAAAACAGTGGTGCACAAAGCACAACATAATTATAACCTATAAGCAGCCGCTCGAGGCAAACAATACGAGGTATCGCCAGAAAAAAAAAAACTTAAACTACAAGCTGCCGCACGAGCACAACCTGCAGACATCACCAGCTTCCATCAAGAGCACAAAATCTGCAGAACTCAGAGTGTAATAAAATTCTGAAAATTTAACAGAAAGAGCTTATAAATATTGTCTATTAAATAAATAATAATTATTTTGTAACATTTCATTATATACAAATCAAATCATATTAAAATGTTTGAAATCATTCAAGAAGATCATGATTTATGAAATTCTACAAGTGATAATATGTTTGATAAAATAATGTAATAAATCTACATTTCTAAACTTGAATTTATTTAAATAGAGCAAAACGTGTACAGTGATTTAAATTAAATTTAAAAGTCTTCAGAAGTTGTTAAAACATACATATATATATATATATATATATATATATATATATTGTGTTCTTGTTTCCATTTCTACACTATTTCGAATAAACACGTGTCAATTTACGCATGATCATACAATTGTGTAATCTTATGTACGAACAATTTGAGCACCTACATCACCATATTTTTTATTTAAATTTCGTAATAAGTATTTCAATGCTATAAATTTTAACCGTATCACATTCATTTAAATACAAATATATTGTGTACCGGACTTATTTCTTTGATCATATCAATTGGGGTCATTATGTAGCTATCAATCAAAACACGTATTTCTATAAGAAAATATTATATCAGCACAATAAAAGAAATTAATTTCCAGAAAAATATGTAATAGTCTAATATAATATAATATACCAAAATTTCTAATCAGAAAAAATAATAATTATGACTGTTACGGATTACAGCAGTTTTAAGCGGTATACAAAGTGTGAGAGGTAAAGACACCTGTGCTTAGTCAGAAACATTTGCGCGCCGAGTCATAAACACAATTTTGTGAAATCGGGAAACTTCACTACGCAAAATATTCGAATATTACATTATAATTCCGACTAACAAGACCGACGAACTCCCCATGGCTAAACTCTAGTCACGTCAATCTAACAATCAGCATGACAAGAGTGATCCAGAATTCACCGGAATCGCAAGCCTGTACTAGGATATTTAAGGAGCTGCGCTTGACGCTCTCGACCTTGCTGGTACCAATCACGCGCTCTTCACATCAGGCTCGATATCCAACCTGCAATCGCCATCATGAAGCCATAACAAGCATCAAGCAACCTAAAGAAATAATAGCGATGCCACAACTATACCGGCACCCACGCCTCCGTACGTAACGCACCACGCTCGTTCCTTACTACTACTCTTACTAGTTCAATCAAGCATTCATCACGACAGGATCGCCATTGTTCAGCTCGGCTCCAGCCAATACTACTGAGATCGACTCCAACACGTACGTAAGCTACGCTATTACACTCGCTCTTGCATACCATCAATACAACTGAGATCGACTCCAACACGAACGTAGGCGAGATTATTACACTCGCTCTTACGTATCATCAATACAACTAAGATCGACTCCAACACGTACATAAGCGAGACTATTACACTGCCTCTTACGTACCATCAATACAACTGAGATCGACTCCAACACACACGTAAGCTACGCTATTACACACGTTCTTACGGGTTACCAATACACGGCTCCTGTCAACTACGTAAGCAGCAACACTACTCACATACACCAATACCGCAAACTATCGATATCACGGTATGCGGTACGAGTGAGTCTCCCACTCCGTCAAGCAGTGACGTCACACGGACATCCTCCCACCACCAGACCACTACAGCGCTCATCCTACGCCAGCAGCTAAGGCGGCCCCAACTCGCTGCCCCTACCAGCGCGAGTCTCCCACTACTACTACAAATTCATAAGGAGAAGGGGAATCAACATCCAGGCTATCAAGAATACACTTGCAGAATTATCGTCACTAATATTAATTGAAGAAACTCTCATCTATTCATTGTATCATACATTCATTTCAACATCCATAGATCACTGACTATTTATTATATTTATTATATTCAATAAAGGGAAAGACACTACACTCTAAAGGCAGTATTGAGTTATTGCATTGCTCCTTCCGCTTTCCAGCAAGCCTCCATCCACCATCATAGGGAGGGTTTTAGTCTGATCCCAGACAATGACAGTGTTTGACACTGATGAATTTCAGAAAAAGTAGGTCATACGCGCTGTGCGGCGCACGGCACGCGCGCTCGGTCCGGGGCGCGCACTCGAGCAAATGTTTATAAACAAAACTCGGCAAGTCCGAGCAAAGTTTTACGACATGAAATCTAATATACTACAAGGTCACACAAATGTATTACGCCTACTTTTCTCTCGTCGAATTCTCGAAGGTTCTAAATTTTTTTTTCTACCCCCCGTGTAAGAATTAGTGCAACAACGACGATGCGTTGTTGTCAGCTAAGTGATATATAAGGGACGCACGCGGCGCGCCTCGCTCTCTCGCTGAAAAACTCCCTTGCTGAAAGCCTCTTCCTTGCTGACCGGCTCTCTTGCCGAACCACCCTCGACCAACTGCGCTTGCGGCTAACATCTCGCCGTGATTCGACCGCAGTGACCGACCATAGTGAACCGATTTAATCATCTACCGATAGAAGCCATGGCACACGGGTTTCGATCAGCCCTGAGCAAAACCGCCATGGAACGGTCGGTATTTTCATCAGAGCCGCCACGGAACGATCAAGCTTTCGGTTCGTGCGCGTATTCAAAAGGCTCATACGCTCATTGTAATCTCACTTCGCGCTCGCTCAAGTGTAATTGCCGCTCAGTGATTTAGTATACTGTAAAGACGACACGTGGCCATATAATCAGTATTCAAGTTAACAATACACGTGTGCATTAATAAACGAAAATCGGCAGATTTAGTGCTGATTACAGTGAAGCCAATTGGAATAGTAATCAAAGGGGACATCAATTACACAGCAACTAATACACCTTGCCTGCAGCTCACAAGGTACATCTTTTTATATTAATAAATTAGCTAGTCACACCTCGCACAAACATAAGTCGGGCAAACTTACGCTCTTTCGAACTAACACTTCGAAACTGTACAGGCCTGCTAGCAGAGATAGGGCACACTTACGCACTTTCGAACTAACACTTCGACATCGTACAGGCCCTCAACAGCTGACACAAGTGTCACTGTGATTTACGCACGTTGTCAAGGAAGGACAACAACAGATCGACTAATAGACTATAACTACAGATTATCAAATCCTTCAAGAGCTCAAAATCTTACCATTAACAACTCATACCTGTGACTAGATTCTTCTACTGTCCCCATAAATTATTAAAGACACAATAGATTACATAATAAATTCCATACAACATCTCACACCACATCAAGTATAATTATTCATACATCAAGTACACTTGATTCAACTACCATCTTCTCATGCTACCTCACAAGCATGATTGATTGACTACACCAGCTGATATTTACAACATCAGCATTACCTCAACTTCAAATACTCAGTCATATCCATAGAATCTTCAATAATCAAGAATACAAAAACATACCCACATTACTGCAATAGAATTATCTCTCTCTACACAACAGTGCAATATTATTATAATCATTTACAAATAATAAACATTGTTTTTACTAAATACATGATATTTTTCAGCCTTGTCAATTATTATTTCCTTTGAAGTTATCCTACCGAGAAACTAATTCACTGAACTATTGAATTGGTAGTTAGAACCATAAATTAAACCTTTAAAATCGAACAGACAGATTTATTAAATAAATGTTTTCAATTATACGTATCAATACACTTAAGTATATAGGAAGTATAAAATTAATTAACATATCTTACAATAATTTATATTCAAACATATAATTTTTAAAAGCTGCGAACAAATTTATTTTTTATAACCATAAATTTATAAACTAATAGTAATAACAAAAAAAGTCTTACCCCAATAGTGGGTATAGCTATGCTTTTTCTTGTTGTTGCATTTAAATTTTCAAGTTCAGGTATTCTACACCAATGAGAAGGTGTATTTGACATAAATAATTGATTAAAAGCACAAAATCCACAGGGTAAGCAAGCCGGTAAGCATATAAACCACAGCAATTGTTTTTGATATCTACCAAATTCTCCGAGAATAGGTAAAAGCTCGTCCAGATCAAATACATCCTACGAAAATAACGAATTTTAATTATTTAAAAACAAATAAGTACATAAAAATAGTAAATTATTTACAGGTAAATAATGAAACTATTGAAAATACAAGCAATTTAAAGATGTGGATAATCATACATTACACATGTATCATATGATTTAATATTCAACATGAAAATCCATAAAAGTTTCAAACTTCACAGGTCCATTTATAGCAAATTATTTATTTCGCAATAAAAGGAAAAATCAAGTATATAAGTGCGATAATTTCCCACAATCGAACAATCATAATTTTAATTTATTTTTGCAGTATTATAAAAAATAGAACTCAAAATATTTAATCTTTACCATTGTGACTTTTGAATTAGAAAATTAAATAATGATTTATTTATATCAATTATATGTAATTTAATTTTTATTCTTATTTTAGATTCACAGTTATCTCTTAATCTATATTCTCTCACTTAATCAAAATAAAAACAATCTAATCGATAGTGTCAACCTAATGTACCATCTCACGATAAAATAACATCTCGAAATAAATATTAGCAAATAGTTGAAAATTTTACAATAATTTATTGTATTTACATCACGCCGTCTCATAATGGATACCTTGAAATGTTTTTTAATTCTGCAACTCACCTTTTAAAAATAAAAAAATTAAATCAATCATTCTAGTAAATTTGAGTAAGCAATTATTATTCAATAATATACACACGCGTAAGCTCATACAGGGTTACTTAAAAGTACATATTTCTGCATAAATTGGAAATTAGATTTATTTAAAAATCTATCATTGTGATTAATAATATATGCATTATGTAAAATACTACACAAAATAACAGTAACATCTATTAATAGTATTATATTTGCAGAGATTTACATAGCGAGAAAATATCCGAAATGCAACAAAATTAATATTTGTATACACATTAAAAACAATTTTAGACTAGAGAATTTTTCATGGCTCGTTCAATTAAAATATGAAAAGCAAATAATGTTAAGAATGCATTCTTTAAGGTCAGTTAGTACTCTATTCTTCGGACCACCTAATGGTCGAATCGTTTCCAAAAGAAAGTTGAATGTAGGTCCACAAATGGTCATAATTACAAGTGATTCGAGCCATAAATTTCTTGTACTTTTAAGAAAATTTCACTCGTGTATCGATATTAAATGCAGGCCACCTAATGGTCAAATCGATCCCAAAATGGGGCTGATTCTAGGTGTCATTTGCGACTACGAATAACCTTAATTGTATTAGTTGTGGTATTAGTAATCTTAAAATAAATTGTTTAAATTAATTTTCACAATTAAAGAAACTTGGAAACAAATAACACAAAAATATTTCAAATCAAAAGAAACGGATAAAAAGGTTAATAAATTATAAAACAAATATCATTTGTTTTCAAAATTAATTAAACTTAAAATTTTAGTTATAATTAAATCAATAGTTGCTACAGACTATTATACATTACACAAATTATATACTTGTTTTAATTACGCAGGTAATATGCTGTATAATTTAAAAAACTATAAAGTGAATATACCAGAAATAATTAATAATTTTTATATATCATTATTATAAATATATAATTTTTCACATTTTCAATTTAAGACAAAGTATACCACAATAAAGATTAATATTAAAAATTTATTAAAAATTTATTTAAAATAAAGAAATAATTTCTATTTCAATATTTATCATATTTAAATTATTCCATATAATATTAAGTCTTGTACAATTCACAATTATTACATTATACATTAGAAACTTTAATAAATCATTAAAAACTCCAAAACCTATTGACTATTAATACATATTCAATAACCATATTGACTTATCTCATTTTAATTGTATACATAAAATGATATTTCATATGTGAATTTATCATTTTATCATAAGGGCAAATGTCCTTCTAGTACACTATTTATTTTAATTGAAAATCATGAACTGTATCAGTTATGAGTTATTATATTTTTAATTTTTTAATAATGACTGTATTGTAAAATGCTATTTTTTAAATTATATTATCAAAATCAAATAAATATTCTACGTAAACAAACTTCATTTACAATTTGAGGAATTAATTAAATAAATGTCATTGTAATGTTACAATTCTAAAAATTAAATTAAATTTTAAAATCTACATTTAATTAAGGTAAAAATTATATATATATATATATATATATAGGTTTTGATTCTATTAACTTCTATATAAAATATAAATAATGCTTTATGGAATAAATTATTTTATTTTATTTTATTTATACAGTCTTCGTAATTAGTTCAATCAAAAATGATATTTTTATTTAAAATTTGTCATAAACTATAATTATGTATTTGAAAGTTGATATAAAAATTTATAAAAATCTTATATATTTAAAAAGATAAGACGAAATACTGATTCATACAGATAAATATTTAAAATATAGAAATATGACATTTTGACAATAACCTTAATAGTGCATATATAAATATTTATACTTCAAAAAAATTATTTTTTTCTAATAAATATAATTTATAGATTTTTTTTCGATATTCAAAATATTTAAAACAGATAAAAAATATTTTCAAAAATACTTTATATAATAGAATTGTAGAAAATATTGATAAGAAAAAAAAAACAATTTTTTTGAATGTGATATCCATTAATATAATACATACTTTATAAAAATATATAGATATTTAGAATGAAAAAAACAAACAAGTTAATCAGTATAAAATAGTCATTATACACTTACATCAAAATGATCTTTGTCATTATCTTTAATAACTGAATTGGATGTCATATTATCCATCTGCTTTTTTATTTAGCACATTCATATGCGCGTATTTTTGTGCATGCGCACGCGCGCGCGCGCGTGTGCGTATATGTATGTATGCCTGAACGTTTATGACGTTTGAGTGTATATATATATATATATACATAAACTGCGAGAAGAAAATAAAAAACAAATAATTAGATATATGTCAATATTTATGAATAAGTAAAAAAATCTAGATATGACGATAGATATTAAAAAAAATTGAAAGGAGTGAAAGTAAAAGTAAAAGAGTTTGCAATACGAAAATAAATAATTACTATTTAACAGTAGTCTGATTTAGAATAATTTAATAAAGAGCCAAGTTGGAAGCTAAGCTTCTTAAATACATTTACTTAAATATCTTAAATACATTCTTAAATACACTAACAATTTGACCTATTTTCTATATATTTAATATTATTGCGAAACATACAGAACATTATAAGACTTCTTCAAATAATTATATATATTGCATTTACATAATATACTATTATAAAAATGATCAAATAATGAATTTAGATCTTGATAAAACTTTATTTAATTAAAAATAAAAAATGTCCAATTACTTTTTACACAATATTGACTATTAGATTAAATTTATACATATTCAATTAAATTCTGTATACATTCTGAATACATCTGCATATATCGTTCTGTTAAATGAAAAGTTATCGTATTTAATTAAGAGAAAATTATTAAAATTTGTACAGTAAATTTACAATTTACTATTCTACCAATCTTTATTTTTACTATAAACATAAATAAATATAATAACCAAAATCTCCACATTTTACTAACATTTTTCGATGTCTACCTTATGCGTTGATAAACTGATTTTCCAAAATGTGTCAGCTACAGAAATTTTAGATACTGGAGTATTGAAAAAAAGATTAGCGGTGGCAATTGTGGTGGTAACATCGTAATTATTCTACATTTGAATTCCATATATATTTTTATTATTTCAATTTAAAAGTATTTTTATTAAAAAGAATATATATTTCTTTCAAAAGAATAATATAGTAATAATATACTAATAATATAGATAATAATATTCCTTTAATATAGAGAAATCTGCAGTAGTCTATATATAGCAGTCTATAAATAATAATTATTATATATATATAATAATTTTGTATAGACATAGCAGAAATTTAAAATGTATTTATTAAAATATACACATTTATATTTACATTTTTTATTGTAATTTTATATTTAATGTTGATAATAAATGATAATAAATGTATGATACCAATAAAATATATTTATAATAAGTTCAAAATTGTAAGTGAGAGTCTATAATTTGATTTAATTGCTTATTATATATATATATATCATATACTACAGAAAACTATCATTTTTCCAAATGCAATTGATTTTTAAAATAATTGATTAAAACTAAATTATCCAGATAATTATGAAGTGGTATTGTTTGAGAATGTGAGAACGCTTAAAATGCAATAAAACATTTCGCAAGCGACATCGTAAAATTCACATTAGGATTCAAAACTTCTGCTCATAATTATTTGTACTAGTGTCATAAAACATCTGGAAAACTCCAGTGGAACGTGCCTTTGCTTTACAGAGCAGTGAAACAAATAGGTTTTATTGCTGGGAAAAACCCTTGAGTAGATCCCGAACGAATATCACTCGATACATGAAATATCGAGTACAAAACATTTCTTAAATTCATTGCAACCCAAAAATCCCGAACGTGCGGCGACTTGTATTAATCGCACGTGCGCTTACACTCATTAAGACAACACTTGCATTGTTTTCTGTCTGAGTCACATCTGGTCGGTCGCCTGCGAAAATGACCACGCCCAAGAGGACCCTTCATCTAGCCAAGTCCCAGAGAAGGGAGAAGCAATCAAGAAGAGATGACCAATAGCAAAAACTCCCCACTTCCGACACTTCCATATTCGCGGAAGGAAGTGGAGATGAAGGCGTACATAATCTATTGTGCTGCCTAAGAACGACCACTGATTAGTTAATTAATAGAAGAAGGAGTCCCTAGCGGAGTGGGACCAGTGAAGCGTTTAAGATAGAAAAATGTAATGTACCGACACGAACACTTACTCTGTCTAAATACTTCTTACAGTACAAGGATAAGTCACGACCTACTCTCACGGAGGAGGACCGGAGAGACAAGTCGCTTTAGCTAGCTGAGTTTTAATAAGAAGTTCTTTCTACGATTATGAATTAGTGTACAATTGGATTAATCTCATCACGACTAGATTGCATAGGACCTGACCACTTGCAATCTCGATTAGAAATCAGGAAGAACCTTAGAGTTGCCACATTGCAAAGGAACGTAATAACAAGCCAACGACGAGAAACAAGGAAAATCACGATACGCTGCAAGTAAGTCTTTACAACTAGTATAAATTCTTGATTTTTTGGCTTAAGCAAAGAAGGACGAATTAATGTTTAACTACGCAAGCTTCCCGGACATACTTTAGAGGAAGATCAGCTGCAGACGCCACTGTGGCTATTAATCCCTCCAACAATAAGCTGTTCCCGCCACAGGTGGCGCACAGCTTCGCATAACCTCTATTTAGGCATTCTTACGACCAACATTAGAGGCGACTGCACATGTGTTAAATAAAACCTGCCAACAGTGCCGCGTTTAATCAATGCACCACAACAACCATAACCTCAAGTGATAATATTCAATAGATTATAACCTGCTTCATTCATAGTTAATATATTTCAACACCACAAGATTATCAAGAAATACAAAGTTCTTTTGTAATTCACTTTTTGTAAATTAATTGAAATAAACAGAAATAATAAAGACATGTGTTAATTATTAATAAGTGCATTCACCCTTTACTTACCCGGCAACCCCACACAAACATCTAGTGGGTTTTTTATTCTAAGTTAATTATTGCACGTTTGGCTGACGAGTTAAATTGTGGAATTATTTTCCGAACAGGTATTAAATATAAACTACTTTGACTGAAATATTTTGGAAACAACCGATATTCAATATAACAAGCTTTATTAAAATCTCAAAGTCTTAAAGATTCGAATATGTAAATCATAAAACATTGTGAATTATAAATACACTTTTAGTCTGAATAAGAACTTTTTGAATTAATTAGAACAAAAAATTAAATGGCTTTATGTGGACATTATTAAATTAATGATAGCTTTGAATCAGAAATGCAAAAATACAGAATACTGTAAAACTAGCAAATATATTCATTTATTAACTAGAAATAAAATATTAAAAATGATTATTTCATAACTTTTACTTGATGTAAAAAAATAGCTCTAAATATATTCATATGATAATGAGCATACCTCTAGATATATTATATTTTATATTCATAACAACATTCATAATATTCAATTTTTCTTAATATTTATATCATTTTAATACGTAATTTATTTATTTAATTTTATTATTTCATTTATTTATTTTATTTAATTAATCTATGCTTATTTTTATTGTCAATCCATTCAAGAGTTGATAATGTAGATGAATACTTCCATACAAAATTGATTAATAAACTTATGTTACGGATTGAAGCAGTTAAAGGCGGATTACAAAAGTGGGAGAGGTATAAGCTCCCGTATATTTACGTTTATAAACACAATTCAGCGAATTCGGGAGATTTCACTACGCTGAATACTCGAATATTAGATTATAATTCTGACTAGCAATACAGATGAACCTTCCAAGGCTATATCCTACTGACGTCACGATAAAAATCGATATAGTAACAGACACCGGTGCGCTACCGGCGTCGCAAGCTCTTACGACAATATTTAAGAGCAGCGCTTGACGCGCACCTTCCTTGTGCTATTACTAATCACGCGGTCTCTACGACGGGCTCACTATTTTACCTTTAGTATAAAGTGACGCGACACATCCATACCGGCGGACCTAACGCCCACGAAAGCAACGAACACTAACGTTTAGCGGTACTCACGCTTACACCGGCGGATAAGGCACTATCGTCTCACTGCCCCCCCCCCCAGTGCGCATCTACTACTACAGCGACTAGTCTCGTAAAAGGAAGGAAACGTGCCTCACACTGCCGAGAGTAGACTCTCATAATCACGTAAAACAATTGAAGAAACTTCACCACATAGTTCACTCACGCTATCTATTCATACACTTATAACCATTACTAATTGTTTAGATATATCGTAGTTAATAAAAAGATAGACAAGAACCACTACAAGTAGTATTGAATAATGGCATTGCCCTTTCCACTTGCCAGCAACACCTCCACCCACCATGAAATGGAGGTTTTTAGTCTGATCCCAGACAACTTATTTAAATACTCTACTTTTTAGTCTGAATATATCTTCACAAATTTAAAAAACAAATTGGGAACTAAAACTAATATCACGCGAATCCTTAATTATCTATATATTTTTAACAGTTGAGATTTTAATAAAATTAATAATAATTTATGATCAAATAATAAATTTATGACTAATATGTATATATATATATATATATATATATATATATATAAGACATTCGCAATGGAACATAACTGTATTGAAAACACCTGGCCAACAACAGGTGATAACCATTAATACTGTACAAAGAGTGAAGTGGAAAAAGAGCTCATATGCTGTGGTACTGCAAAAGTGAATGTCAGAAGGCTGTGTCGAGAATAATTAAAAAAATTCCAATTAAAAAAACTCACCATTAACGAACGAAAAGCCGTTGTGAAAAAACTACAGCCATGTACAAACTGTCTTGGATAACTTTGCCAAGCCCATGCCTCGGGAAGAAGGGCTGCATGGACTGCAACAAGACACACTATAATCCATTATACGAAGAAAAGAGCTCTACATACGAAGACACTAGCTCATCATTATACACCAGATGACTAGACCTGAAACTAGAAGGTCACCGAAGAAAAGAAAAACAAAGACCTTGCTGACCACCGTAGTGAGTACAGTAAAATCACAATCGACCATGGATCAAGCTCGCCTTCCTATTGACACCAGCTCTGAAACTACACTCATCATTGATAAATTGACAAGGAAACTTCAAGCAGGCCCACAGAA